CAAACCCAAGGGGACCCTCAGCGAGGCCTGCCGATTCTACATTGCCCTGGTTGATTCATTTACCGGCTCTTTCAGATGATTATTTCTGCTCCCAAGGCCAGGCCCTCCGCTGGTGCTCTGGACCTCATCCCTTCTCACCTAATTAAAGACTTTAACCCTTTCAGTTCTTCCCCCCTCTCCTGCATCATCAACCTCTCTACCAGATGATTCTGATCAGTTTCCAAATATGCTAGAATATCTCCTGTTTTAAGAAGAAGATGGAGAAGGGGAAAAAAAAAAGGAAAAGGAAAAACTCCCTTGACCCTGTAACTCCCTCCTGTTATGCCTTAAACCTCCGCTTCCCTTTTGTAGCAAAACCTCTGAAAGGCAGTGAGAGCTATTTATACTGACTGCCTCCACTTTTCCCCTCCTGATCCAGAGGCTCACCCCGTCCCTAGGTATTTGATAGGCTTCTTCCTCATTTAACTCACTTTTCTGCTCAAATGGCAAATCCTCAGCGTGGCCTTCACTGCCGTCTACAAAGGTCACCTCCCTGTGCACTATTCCTTTACCTTACTTTTATTTTTTTCAGAACACTCATCACAACTTGACCTCCACTATATACATATATGCTACCAAGAATGTAAGTCCCATGAGGAAAGGAATCTGATTACCCTTTTATCTCCACTTAGGGCAGCGTCCGACTCCTCATAGCTGCTCAATGAAATATTGAATGCGTGAGTGAGAGAGTAAAAAACTTAAAAAAAAAAGTATACATGGTTGTATGAGAGAAAGAATAAGTGCATTTTGCCTACTGTTCTCTAAATAGCGTTTAAAAAATGTAACAGTTGTTGGGAGGGGAAAATTTCCCGTTTTCCCCTCTAAGTTATTTTGGCTGTTCTAAGAATCACATTGACATGAAACAGATTAACAGAAGAAAAGGACCAGATTTAGTTACACATGTACATACAGGGGTTCTATAAGATTACGGGCCCAAGGACAAATTAGGCAGATAAGGCTCCCGGCCGTCTTGAGCTAAAGAGACAGTGGGGGTTGCAGTTTGGGACTTCAGTGGGAAAGAAAGCAGTTCACATAGAGATAGGAAAACAAAGGTTTGGTAAATGAATGTTTGCCGGGCCATCTTTAACAATGGGACACAGAGGACTTTTGCCTAATGGGCCTTGCTAGGTTCCCCGCTGTCTATCAGACACTAGTTCATATTAAACTATTATTATCTGTGATGACAGCTCCCTTCCTGAAGCAGGTCCTCCATCTAAATGCTTTTAGGCAGGTAGGGGAATAGTCAAAGGTTTTCCCTCAGTCTTTTGTTTCTTGAAAATAACCAGCTTAAAATAATCAATATACCTAAAGAGGCACATTTCGAGGTGGCAGTCTCTGCTCCCCCTTACAGCGCATATAGGATATTTTCCCATTAAGAAAAGTGATGCACTGTATTCCAATATAGGTTAATACAAATTTATGTAGCCAATCCTCTGTTGATGGAGTTTTCTCTTATGTACATTTTCCCCCTTTGGCAAGCATCCTTGTTTATATATCTTTACAAACTTGAGGGACAATATCTACATAGGGTGAAAATTCTTGGGAGTAGAAATAGTGCATCAAAAGGCATGTATATTTTTAATTTTATAAATGTTACCAATTAGCCTCCCAACAGGGTTGTATCAGATTTTATGGCCACCAGCAGTG